GCCTCTCACCCCTGCAGATCTGTCTCCTTCTGCCTGCAGCTGTGGACCTGTCCATCCTCTGTCCTTCCAGGCAGAAGTGCCGGGCCACGGCGCCCTGATTCCAGCCCCCTGCACCCCTCCTCCCGGGAAGGTCCCTCCTGTCAAGGTCCTGTGTCTTCTCTGGCCCTGTTGTCTGCAGTGGTCCTCAGGACAGGCACCACCATGACCACGGGAAAGGCTCGTGCCGCGATCTTCCCCTGTCTGCCCTCTGGTCGCCTGTGCCGCCTCCTGCCCCGTCCGGCCCAGTTCGCTCCATTCTTGCCTCAGAAGGGCCTTTCGCTCCGCTGTGATCTCCCACCAATTTCCGCATCTCCTCTCCGCCCTGCTCCCCACCTTGCCGAGCTGCGGACCTCTAAGTGTGACTCACGTGGCACACTGGTCGCCCCATGCTCTTTCCTGTTCGCAGGGACCAGGAACAACACGGCCACCCCGAGGACACAGGGAGGCCTCCATGAGAAGTGGCAGCTTGTCCATCCTGGCTGCCCTTCCTGGTGGGAGCTGGGCCCACACTGTGCTTGCTGCTGTCCCAGGGGTGCTTTCTGCCTGGGGAGAAGCCAGCGCGGCGTCCCTGCCATCCACAGGTAAGTCCTGTCCCCTCGGCGGGAGCCCTGGTGCCCTCCTGCCTGCAGATGGGTCAGTCCTCGAGGCCCACGGGGGCTTCCAGGCCCCGGCTTCGGCCCATCTGCTCCCTGCAGGATGTGCCAGGCCCCGAGTGCTGAGGGGACTGGGCATACCTTCAGCAAGGACGCCGGGCCTCCTGCCCCGGGGGTTCCCCGAGCTGAATTGCTGCCAGCAAGATGCCCGGGACAGAGCATGGACAGTGCCTAGGGCTTATGGACAGGGAGCCCAGGGACGTGGCTTGCAGAGGGCTGAGGTCATGAGCCCACCGGCTGCACCCTGGAGGACCAGGGACCGGCCTGGGACTGCTTCCCCGAGGTCCTTCCCAACCCTGCAGGGAGTCACAGCTGGGCTCAGGGATCGCAGATCGACCTGCGACCGCCCACGCTCAGGTGCTGGGGTCTCAGCTGCTGGCTGGGTGTGGCCCCTGCCATGAAAAAGGGCGCCCTTTCATCCCTGCCACTGGAGAGGCATCAAAATTCCTGGTCCTAAAGATTTTCTTATTGCAGAAAATAACTCAGAACATAAAATTCCCCAGGGCACAGTCTGAGGGCCCACGCTGTGGCTCTGTCCACGTGCAGTGTAGCACAGCCTTCGCCTGTCTTTCTCGGCCCCCGTGGAGTCCCCGGTAACTCCTGGGCCCTTCCTCACCTCAGCCCTGAGCAGCCGCCTGGCTGCCGTCCTTCTCCACAGATGTGCAGCTTCTCCGGAGTGGACTCTGGCAGCACGAGGCCTTTCACACCCGGCTTCCTTCAGACGGCGCTGTGCTTCCGCGGTCTGTGTGTTTTGCAGCCCGTGTCAGTCCTGTGCTCTTTTTCATAGCTGAATAGTATTTCACTGTGTGACTCTGCCATGCTGTTTCTCCACCCAGTAGTTGTTGGTCATGTAGGCCGTTTTTACCTTTGTCCTCTGGTGGATGCTGCTACAAACCCTAGCCTGCCTTGGTGGCACTGTGGTTAGAAACACAGGCAGATTTGTGATGATCAATGTCTGTTCTTCCCAGGGGCAGGGGCAAGGTCCGCTTGTCCCCCAGTGTCATCTCTTAGGCCTATACCGGGCACATCATAGCTGCTCAGTAAATCCTCAGCTGTCCTGGGGTGAAGAGGTGGAGAGGCCCGGGACTCAGGCCGCACGGGTGTTGCCCCTCTCTTTCCACCCCGAATCTCTGCCAAGATGTCCTGCTGTCTTGACTGAACTGAGCCTGGCCTGTGTGAGACTGCAGACTCCCCCAGTGCGCAGCTCACAAGCGCTCCACTGCAGCACCAATCATGAGGAGTAAACACTCACTCAGCCTTTTAGTTTTTATGAAGACAAAATTCAAAAACATTCATTGCAGGAATATTTTAATTTCAGGGATTGACATTTGCCAGTCATTAAGTTGAATAATTTGGGCTGGGAAGGCACGTGTGTCACTGGCTTAAAGGAAAGCTTGGACAGAAACAGCAAAGTCTGCTCCTCCAGTGATTTCTTATCTCCTGGGGTGAAGGGTGTGCGTCTGGGTGTCTCAGGGGTTAGGATGATCTATCACCCCTTAAATCAGGGCCCCCACAAAAGCAAACAGGGAAACACAGTCAGTCACTAGGAAACCCTGTCAAAGGTTTTGAGTTTCAGCTTCAGATCAGTTCTGTAGCTGAACTATGGAGCAACGGTGGGCATCAGCTGACTCAGGTACTCAAAGTTCCTGGGAGGACTTGGGCAGTTTCCTTCTGCCGGGAGGCAGAAAAAGCAAGCAGCAGGTCTGGAGGAAGTTATCGCAACAGCCGGCCGGCCACTGGGAGTTTACTTGTGCCCCGAAGTGCTGGGTGTTTGTGACTCACACCCTTGTACATCCTGAAGACCTTGGGAAAGCCTAGATCGGGCAGGTGAGATCGGGAGAGATCTGTTGAGATCTGGTGAGTTCTGCCGAGCGGTGCAGGAGAGTCTCAAATCTCTTCAGTTTGGTTCTAGACTCTGTGCACCCACTTCCTCCCACAGGGCTCTCGACTGTAGGTTTAAAGGAGGAAAAGCATCACATTTGCATCCACTTATCTCAAATAAAATGCGCAGGAGAGAGGAGACCCAACCTCCAGACAGCCCTGGGAGAACAGTCCTTACCCGAGCACTAGATTTCTCGGGAGGACCTCAGTCTACCCCTGCGAAGACTGCTTGTGTTTCACTCTGCGCCTCCTCTAGTGTTTGTGGCAAGAGGGTGCCTTTACCACGCTGTCATGGCTACTCAGGAAAAGGCCCTGAAAAGGCTCAGTGCACCTTTCAGTACCTCTCCAGGTCCTCCTGGGACAGGGTCTGGGGGTCTGAGAGGTCACAGCTCACAGTCCTCCCTGAGGCGCAGCGAGGAGGACCCCGTGACCAACACGGTGAGCCGGGGAGCGTGGGGGCCGTCTGATCCGACCCGGCACCCCCACGATGAGCGCAGCTGACGTGGTGGTAGCCACGCGTCCTCCCGTGTGTCCTGACTGAGGAGTGCACTCCACTGGCCTCGTCCACACAGACCGACTGGGCCACCTGCCAACCTGGTGACTCAAGTTCGTCGCTTCTCCTCTCAGCCTTTTTTCCCCATGTGTTATCCAGCTCCGGGGCTGTGGAGAAGGAAGCAATCGAGGCCACGCAGAGCTCAGTCTGGTCGGCACCGCGCAGGAGCCTGGCGAGCACCACCATTCAGATCTGCTGAGAGCTCAGGGCTTCGTTAACACAAAGCCGGAGGTCCGCGGAGAGCAGGTCACACCACGAGGTAATAGCACTGCTTGAAAACACCTGCCAGGGCTTCCTCACCCCTGCCTTCTGGTTCTGCAGACCCCACGCCCCCAGAGTCCCAGGGACAGGAGTGTTGGTACAGACGCCACCAACGCCCCACGGCTAACTCTTAAGACAAGCTCAGTCCTAGCCGCAACCCAAACACTGATCTGCTGCAGTGTCACTTTTTATTCATGCGCTGTCCTCCTCCTCCTCTTTCATCATCTTCTCCTCCCAAGATCAGTTCATTCCTTCTGCAAGGACTCTCTAAGCAAATTGCCGCTCAGAACAGTATTGCAAGCCAGCACCTGGGAGGCTGGAGCAGGAGGACTGCTGTGAGTTCAAGGCCAGCCTGGACTACGCAGCAAGACCCTGTCTCACAGACCAATGGTGATGACGATGATGATGATGATGATGATATTTAATCTCGTTGTGCTCCTGGGTAGATGGTGAGAGGACAGTAGACCCGCTGTTGCTCCTCGGCTCAGATGCAGACCCCCCAGGTGCCTAGCGCCCCTCATCCCTCCATCCCACCCTCATCTGCGCCCAACCCCACACCCTGGCCCAGGCCTGCCGCTGCCAGAGGCGCTGCCCACGGGGGCGGGTTCCTGAGGAAGGAGGGGCGCAGCTCTGCGCCTGAGAGTCCGCACCTGTCCACCCCTCACATCACCACCAGCACAGCGGTCAGCGCGGGCACCCCTGGCATGGCCGCCTCCGCAGGCCCATCAAGCCCGTGGCGTCCTTGTGGGGAGGGAGGTCAGGCTCGCTCTCATTCTTCCCCCCTTATCCGAGGAGAAGCGAGGAGCGGAGAGCAGTTCTGCTGCAAAAGGAGCCCGGCCCCTGGCCCCAGAAATGCAGATGCAAACCCCAGTGAGAGCCCCACGAGGTCGGCGCTTAAGCTTGGGGAGGAGGTGAAGCATCGGAGACGCGTCACTGTGGGCGGCACCAACACGCTGGGGACAGCGGGCTGAGTGCTGATGCTGGACGCTCACCAAAGGGGGTCGCAGCCACTGAAGGAGAGCGGCCAGGAGATTGTACTGTGGCTGTCCGCGGAGCTGCTCATGGGAACAAAGAGCCAGACCCAGGACCCCGCTTTCCAGGGGCGAGGGGAGCAGAGAGGCAGAGGTTGCAGCTGGGCCGGCCACTTTGCTTCTAGGCTCAGTGCTGAGAACCCACTGCACCGCTTCCAGGGCTCTGCAGAGCCTGAGGACGCTCGAGTGGCCTGCGTCAGCTGGCAGTGTCTGTTCTCGAACCCATGCTCCTCTCTCAGCCCTGACTCCTCCCTCCATCACTACAGCATCTAAATAACACAGATGCAGTAGAAGCGGTTGTTTCACTACTTTGTCCAGCGATGGGACAAGAACAGGACTGGACGTGTTCAGAACAGACGCAGTTATTTTTCAAGCAGTTCTGATCTACAATTGGTTGAGTCCTGGCTGTGGAGCCTAGGACGTGAGGACCCCTCCACAGGGCGGCGGGAGGGCGAGGCACGGGTGGGTGGGGTCTGCTGGGGGGCACATAAGGGAGACAGAACCCCATCAGGCTGTGGGGTGACAGCGCAGCTGAACACTGAAGGGCACTGGCTTCTGGCTAAGAAAACACTGTGATGATTGCCTTTCCCAGGACTCTGCTGTTCCTCTGTGAGGTTTCTGTGTCAACCAAAGTACAGGAGAAAAGTAGAACACTTTCAGGCATCTGAGAAGGAAGAATTACAGTCCCCTCTGGGTGCCCTGGCTCCTGCTCCCCTTCCTGAGTGGCGACAGATCCAAGTGGGCAGGCCAGGCAGGTGGCCACAGGGGAACAGCCGCCCGGCTTTGTGTTTAAAACCCCTCTTGACCTCTGCACCCAGGAGAAGAAACAGAGGCTCAGCTCTGCACACAGGGTCGGGTGTGACAGGCAATGCCAGGGTAGAGCCAGGTGAGCTGCACCTGAGCCTGGGACCCGACCTCCTGGGCTGGGCGCCCAGCTGGATGAGAAGGGTCCATCAGGGCCCAGCAGACACCACACTCTGGGGGCTGGTGCACCAGCTAGGGCACCCACTCGGCTCAGGGGCACAGTAAGATGAAGCTCTCAGGGTTTATTAATCACACCAGATGCAAAATCACAGCACTGGCTTAAAACAAGTTAGCCATTTTAAAACCTTTAAACAAGACAGAAGGTAATTTTTTTTTAATTCAGAGGAAGAAACCCAGCACTGCCGAGGTGGTCTTGGAAAATCCAGTGGAGGAGCTGACACGCAGGTGTCCCGCGGTGGGGACACACGTTTCTACCTCAGTCTCAGGCAACAAGGTGCAGCTGAGGGGACAGCGGTTGCTTCTGGGAGGGAACCATGAGGCCTGGGTCTCACGGTGCAGAGAGGAGGCCAACATCGCTGGCCGGAGGGAGCCGTGGTGTCTTTCCCTCTGATTCCACCTTTGAAGAGAGTGAAAGGCGCTCAGGGGAACGTGCTCTCACAGAGGCAGAACCAAGCTAAGCCCAATAACATGCTCAGCAAAGCGAACACCGAGCCGCCCTGCAGACACCTTTAATGACAGCATTGACATCGCTGCCTTCTCTAGCTAACCCTCCTCTGTGCTTCTAACAAATCCTCCTGAGCTGGAAGAACAATTCCAGGAATCTGAGCATGACAGACGTGCTGACACCGTGGGCTGGAGAGCATTGCTAAAGACGGACAGCGGCCAGCCATGGCGGAAGCACAGGGCCTTCATTTCAGTTACTCATGACTCACACCCCGGGGGCCGTGGGGTTGGTGTAGGGTCACAGAGGCTGTGCAGTGGGAGCCAGCAGTACCTGAGCTTGTCACCCAGAGCTGCTGCTCCACACAAATGCTAGCGGGCAACCTCCTGGGCCTGTCTTTGCAGATTGCTACAGTTAGAACCTCAGAAAACATGTCATAAATCGAAAAAGAAATCCAGAGGCTAGTGAAATTGCACAGGGACCAAAAGGGAGACTTCATGAAGTCAGTGGAACTGACATCAGATGCTGAGACCACAGCAATAGCACTGTTGTTAAGGAGGCAGCACAAGGGCCAGGCCAGAAAACCACCCAAGGAAAGAAAACTGATGAGGATGGTGGCAGTGAGTACTTCAAAGGAGAAAGGTCTGTGTGTCCAAAGATGAGAGGACATGGAGGAAGCGTTCGTATAGCTTTGCAAAAAACGATGTCTACATTATTTAGAAGATGAAATGTGAAATAAAATACATCACATAATTTTCCTGAAAAATTATATCCCCATAAAGCAACACTCTATTCATTTTTCACGCATTCGAAGTCCAAATCGTAACCGTGCTTCCATTACAAGGGTTCGTTTCTGTGCCTAAGTTGGCATGGGTCTGGAAGCTTCCAGCGTGGCACCGTGGCCCTGTCTGCAGGGAGTGAGAGGGCCTGCTGCCTGTGACCAGCCTCTGCCTTGCTCCCGGTGGGCTCCTAACGGCCCAGACGGCGCCTCTCCAGCCAGCCCAAGGCCTTCTTCCGACGGAGGCCGGTCTGCGTGCACCGCCTCACGGCTCGGCTGTCCTTTGAAGCTTTTGACCTTGGACTCCTCAAATGCTTGTGAAGAGAGATACGCTAACTTCCTGCGGGGACCCGTGTGCTGTGATTGGCCTGGGAACGCTTTCCCCACCCTGTGCTCCTTACCTGGCACCCTCTCAGGAGGTGGCCTGCGTCCCGGTCCCCGCTGTGGCATCCTCCGGTGCCTCTCTGGTCATCAGGCCGATGACTTCTCCCTTGTACGGTGCCCGCTGCACCGGGGCGGGCGTGCATGTCTGAAACAGAACACATTTCTGCTCTCTCTGAGGGTCACGGACTGCTTGGATGCAAAGCCAAGGGCAGCACGCTTCATGGATGGGGGCAGAGAAAGGAAAAGAAAAAGAAGCTCTCGAATTCATCCTGGGCACGGCGTGCTGTTCCCCCCTGCCAGGTCTTCCAAGGAACTGGAGTCTCTGGTCATTCTCTCTGCAGGTACTGATCTGCATCCGACAAGCTGTGGGCGTCTCGCCAGAGCCACTGCCACAGCCTCCCCTCGCTGAGTCCACAGCCCTCCCAGCCTTCTGCCTTTCTGCCCAGCCTCCTCCCAGCTGGCCATGCCCTCCAGAGCTTTACTCTCCAGGGTTTTGCCCAGGTTACGGCCAATCTGCGTGTGTCCCTCTCCCCAGGGGCCTCTGCCTCCTGCAAATCTCTGGCGTAGAGGCCTGTTCTGAGGCAGAATCCTTCACGGGACTCAGCAGGAATTAACTCAAGGCGTCAGCAGACTTGCTTCCCAAGAAGTGACTGAGCCATGCTGTCTGAACATGTGCCCCTTCACGATCAGCAGCCAGAGAGAGGCAGCACCCCAGGGCTCAGCAGCCACACTGCAGCCTAGTGTGCACTCGTGCCGCAAACCGGAGCGAAGAGCGGTGTCTCGCGACGGAGATGTTTGGAGGATCAAATGTGGGGCGGCTCGAGTGCGGGGTGCCTTTAGCATTGCACTGGTACAGACAAGCTGTTTGCACAGCGTAACACAAACACACACTTGTGTGCCCACTGACAAACAGCAAGCGGTTGTAGGGCTCATTCTGCCCACTCAGACTACCAGACCCAGTGACCCACAGCGTGGGCTTGGAGCAAAGAATGGCCACAGGACACCGTCCTGCCTGCCACAGGCTTGTCTCGGAGCCTTTATTGTCCTGCCTCCACGGTCCCATGCTCGGAGAAGTTTACAGGAACCAACGACACTGAAGGCTGAGATCAGGCCTTGATTCACCTGTCCCGGGAATGGGCAGCACTGGCTCTGCATCCCACTGGTCTCCAAACCCTCCCTGGCCCCTGGCCTTTCATCTATGTCACGGGAAGGGGGCACCGTGACAGGTGGGGGCGATGCCACACTCAAGGAATCCTGCACAGCCAGGGCTGTTTCCAGCTCAGTGCACATTTGTTTTTGAAGTAGACTTAACCTACCACTCTTGGAAAAACGAGTCTTATCCCTTCTCTCTGGCAACAAGGGTAAATTTCCATACGAAGTGTCTGCGGGACATGGATGCCAGCCTACAGTGGGGCCAACATTCAATGCCCAGGAAGTAAATTAGTCAACGTAAAGTGGGCTTCTTTCTCAGGTATCCCTCATGAAGACAGTGCCACAGGCTCCATCCTAATTCCACCAGCTGGAAACATACTCAGTGCTTAGAGGACATTTATGCAGCAGAAAACATACAGAAAGAACAGGATGAAGAATTGGGCAGGTCTGGGGTGAACAAAGGAAGCAGGTTTCTCCTCTTGCCTTGAGAATCTGTTGTGGTGTGGGTGGGGAATGTCCCCCAAAGCCTCAGGGCTCATAGGCAGGGGCTTGTGGAAGGAGAGTGGGTCATGCGGGGCTGACTCGCTCTTAGGCGGTGTGACCTGGTCAGAAGGGTGTTCCTGGGGGTGACGAGGAAGGGTCCATCTCCCTCCCCAGGTCTCCCTGCTCTCTGTTTCCTGACTGCCATAACGTGAGCCCCTCTCCTCCGCCAGGCCCCTCCGACATCCTGTGTCTGCCTTGGAGCTGGCAGACCATAGCCCAGAACCATGAGCCTAAGTAAACCTGTCCTCCTCCTTTAAGTTGTGGGTGTTGGCTTTTGAGTCTCAGCAACAAGGAAAGTGACAGATTCGGTGTTCTGCTGTCTTCTGCCTCTCTGCTCAGCTCTCTCCATGCCTTTGCTGGTCTCTCATCTGCTTGACCCTGAAGTTTGGTGGACCCAGAGCTCCCTCTGAAGGCCTCTTTCTCCTTGCACAGTCTCCTTGGCGGCCCCGGATGTGGGGTTTTAAATCTATACACTCTGATTGCCCACTTTATCTCTAGGCTTCATCTCTCCCCGTGCCCTGATTCCTCAGTCTAAGAAGCTAATTGAACGCAGCACTGAGGTACAAGCGTGTGTCAGGCAGAACTGAGGTAAGAGCACCAGGAACAGAGCTGAAACATGCCAAGCCAAAGGCCTTTGAGATGGGGGCTGCTGCCTTACCAGTGCCTGCATCCTGAGCACCAGAGTTGTACACAGCAGACATTTAGAAATGAAAGGGCTTCTTGGAACTTTTTATGTGCTACTTTGGGTACGATTATTTAAGAGTATTGACAATTCCTCAAGGAGGACCTCAAGATGCTAAGTCCCAAGAATGCGTCTTCAGGAGGTTGGCCCGGGGTGCAGCCCCCCCAGCCCCGGACACGCTGGTCAGGATTAGTGCACAGACCCTCACAGCAGTGGTGTCCATTGGGATGGGCCCAGAGCAGGTGAGACGGAGGAGGGTGTAGGCAAGTGCTGGGATGCTAGATTTTCTAAAACTAGCACAACCTATAGAGAAAACCTGAGAGCCACTGATACGCGGCTGCCCATGGGGCTGAGATGCTAAAATGCCAGTAAAGACAACTGAAGTCCCACATCCCAACAGCAGACCCCAGCCTGATGTCCAGTAGTCCAAGTAAACAGTGCCTCCTTGAGGTGAAATCTGTACCTGGCTGATGCCTTCCGGGTTCCCTGTGCCCATTGATGGAGCCACCCAGGCTCTGTGCATCACTAGGATGAGAGCAGCTGATCCAGAAAATGTGTGCATATTGATAGCGACCTCCAGAACACCCTATGAGCTCTTTGTCAAGGACAGCGCAACAGAGCTGGGGCCCTATTTCAGGGCTGGCTCCTTGGGGATGTTGGCCAGGGGCTGAATGAGCTCTGTTGGCAGAGAGGGAGTGGGGAGCTCTCCATGGGGTAGATGGGAGGTGGTGGCCTTGCCTGTGAGCAGGACTGAACTTGGCGACCTCAGCGCACCATTGCTGAAGGGCTGCCTTTGGAGTAGATGAACCTGTCTTTGAGTCCCAAATCGCCACGTAGGCGCTATGTGGTCTCCATAAGCCTCGGGATCTGAATCTCTAAAGCAGGAATGACTGCTGCTTATCTCCCAGGATTACTGTAAGAATTAAGCTATGCTGGAAACCTAATTGGTAATCAGTAGATGTCAGTGGAATAAATTTTGAGTGACTAGCGAAAGCACAAAGAGAGTTCAGTTGAGTATCCCTTACCTAAGATGTTTGAGGTCAGAAGTATTTTGGACTGTGAAGATTTCCAGACTATATTTGCATAGTTTTTACTGGTTAAGCATTCTTAGTCCGAAAAATCTGACTCTGAAATGCTCCAAAGTGTCGTTTCAACACTCACAGTGTTTCAGATTTCAGATTATAGACATTCGACCTATACTCAAAAAAGGTCCATGTTCAGCAGGGTGCTGCTGGTAGGAAGGGCTTTACTTCTCCTTTTCTCACTACCCTTAAAATCCCAGCTTACAGCACTGGCCTGCATTTCTGTGGTATGAACACTCCCACTTTGTCTGATTTCAAGCTGTGTTGCTATCGGGGTCTTGGGCAGACAGGCACACACGTGTCACGGGCAGCCGAGAGTGCTGACCCTGCATTCGCTTTGCCTTTTACTATGATTAGCCATCAAACGGGAAATCAGGACGATGACAGAAACCAATGACACATCTTAAATTACTTTCTCTGAGCCACCACCTTGAGAAAGACATTGACAAACTGTTATTTCAGAAATAGAAAATGCCCACTTCAAGGACCAAATGAGCAATCCTCTCAATCCTATCTACAAGGCAAATTATGCTTATCATTGCTAAGACACGGCCCTGTTTAAAAGCTTTGGCAGCAGTGTTCTGAAACCATATCCTACTCCTAGAAGCTATTCCTGTTTCTCTATAAACTGCAATGTGACCTGTATTTTCCAGAAAAGGTTGGAGCTGCTCACTGCTGAACAAAAGAGAAAAATGACTTGAAGAATAACTTAAAGAAAGTCTATCCTTTGGAATTTTGGAGGAAATCCTAACACTGTAAACATACAAATATTCTATAAATATAATCCATCTTGATGTAAAGTGCTATATACTGTCTGGAAAAAATTAAAAGTATATAATTTTATTCTTTCAGAAATCTGAAATACCTAAATTGTTGTGACTTTTATTCTTTCCCTTTTATGTCTCATTATTGTCCTCTAACATTCTTCTTTAGAAGATTAAAATGCTTGATCATAAAATATTTATCAAATAAGGTTCAGTGTCTCACCTTCTGACTTAAATTTTTTTCTCATAAGGATGCACTGGCTAAATTTTAAAATAACAATTTCCCAACCTGTCAAATTGGGTCCTGTTTCTTCTGAAATGCCTCATAACATCAAGTAACAGTGATGGTTGATGATGTTAGCTTAAGTAGTAAAATCTCGGACAAGAACCAAGCCCACAGATAACCCTGCTATTTGAGGCAGGGGAGGGGCAAGCTGTATTCAAATCTCCTCCTACACTGCCCTGAAACACCTGCCTTTATTCTTCTCATTTCTGGTTCAGTAACCTTTCAAATGCTTGTCATATAGCAAGGGTCAGAGTGGGAAGAGTCAGATATTATCCTAAAGGGTGTGAGATGCTGGCTGGGACAGCTGCTGGGATGCAGACGTGGGGATGTGGGTGCTCTAACCTGTGCTCTGAGAGCTCGGATGGGAAGTGCGGCCTTTTCTTGGGGAGGCCAAAGGGTGAGAAGGAGAAACATCACGGCTTGTTTGCCTTTGAACTCTTATCCACACTCACAAAGAAATCTTACGGATTTGTCTGGTACTTGGGATTGAGCCCAAGGCCTTGTACGTGCTAAGCAAATACTTTACCACTGAGCAATACCTCCAGCCCGAGAAATTTGAAAATTTTAGGTGGAAGCCAAAGAAAAATCTCTGGTTAAGTCCACACAATGTGGACTTAAAATCCAGTATTTGTGGTGTGATATTTTTATTCTATAAATCATCTTTGTCTAACATAGCAGACAGGAGGGGTCTAAAATACCTCTAGACAATCCCTAAACTTCATTTTACTGCTTTTTTTTTTTTTTTTTTTTTTTTTTTTTTTTTTTTTTTTTTTTTTTTTTTTTTTTTTTTTTTTTTTTTTTTTTTTTTTTTTTTTTTTTTTTACTTTTTTCCAACATTTTCATAATAATGGTTTGGGTTTCATGACCATTTTCTTCTCTTTTCTTGTTTCTACAGAGGCTCCATGGAACAGTGGGAATCAGAAAGATCTATCACAAATCCTGGCTCTTATACTTACTTTTTAGCTCAGGGAAATTAATTTTGCTGACACTCAGCCTTCTACTCTGTAAAATATAATGATAGTAACTACCATGTGGATATGTGTTATATTTCATGATAATATCTACCATCTGTTCTGCCAAACTGACCATAAACTACATAATACAGGGCCTGTGGGGAAGGCAGTAAGTTCTTAGAGCATTTGCTAAATAATAGTTATTATTTATTGTTTTTTAAATGCACTAAAATGGCTAAAAAATTATCAGGAAAATATTACAAAACTAAAATAATTCAAAAATTGATAGTCAACACATAAAAACTAGAGTTGACATTAACTCTGCCAACAAAACACAAAACAATCTGAAAAGGAGAACTGATAAAAGCAGTCACTGGGTGACCTGTTGCCCAAAAGATTTTTCCTACAAGAAGATGACTAGGCCAAGTCAGTCATTAAAACACAGCCCATTCTAGGCTCCCAGTTAGTCTAGTTCCCCTGCTGGCAGGAGGATGGAACTGGCTACCACGAGCCAGACTTGTCCCTTTGCAGTATTAACATTGTCTTCCACTCCTTTCTACTGATGTCCCCTCCTTATGATTTCCCAAATCCATCCTTTCTGTCCTTTCCCTGGACTACAGATGAAGTGTCTGTCAACAGTGCCTCCCGTTCAGATTACATTTTTCAGAGATTCTTTTCTAAAACTAATGAGTGATTTACCTCTTAGCACCTCATTCAGCTCAGTCTTTACAGTTTACTGCAGACCTGATTGCTGAGGTATACACTTTTGGGAGTTAGACAGCTAAGATTATGCTCTGTTCTCCATATCCTAGCTGTGTGACGTGGACAAGCATGCTAATTTCTTGAAGCTTCGTGTTCTAATCTCTACAATGGGGGAGGTGGCACCTCCGTCCCTCAAAGAGACTGGTAACAGAGCCCTTGGCAAGAAGCCCTGCATTCAGTAAGCACAAATTACATGTCACAACTGCTGCTGTTTACACGCAGGGGTTCAGAAGCACCTGGAGTCTTTACAGGCTCCACCCACTCGCCACCTGCCATGTCAATGTTTATGAATGACCCCGCAGGGAAATGAGCCATTACCTCCGGCACCATCAGTGTTGACACAAGTACATTATATAAGGGACTGTTGCACTGAATGGGAAGAATTCTCCAGCACTTGTTTATCCAATGAAAGCTGTTGGAAGCACTGAAAAAGGGAGAAATCTTGTCTGATGGATTCTGAGAATTCACAAGTAAAAGAAAATTCACAAAACAGAAGAGAAATCAGAGAGACTCCAGAGCTGCTGGAGAAACCAGGAATCTTTCCCTGTTTGGGACCAGCCTGGCATTTTGTGATTTTCTTGGATTGAGGCCACAGGGCTGCCTTCCCCATTCCAAAATACAGAAATCAAAAAAATGTTTAATCTGAAAGTTTTTAGTGTTTTGTGTATTTAGTAGAGTGAAACGTAAAAACTATTTTAAAAATCTACAAACCAAAGCAAACCTTTGTGAAAGCTCAAGATAACTGAAGGCTCATATCTCTTTTCTGACACTGTTATTCTAAAGGTTTGAGGCTTTTTACGACACAGTGGTAGAAATGGGAGCAGAGAGGGTGGTGATATTGACTTCCTATGGCCTCCCATCACCAGACTCTTACCTGACTCTCACAGTGTTGGGAGAAAACATTTTCATTACCCACAAGAGTAAACAGCCCACGGAGGACAAAACTAGGAATAGGAAGAGGAAGTCAAGGTAGAATTTGTGTTCACATCCTCTGATTCCTGCCACTGCTGGCTGGTGGTCGTGGGATATATCTCACAGTCCTTCATTCAAGGAAGCCCCCCTCGTCAAGGGACCAGGACTCAGCTCTGAACCCACTGCCTGCCCCTCCTGCAGTTGCTCCACCAATGGATGGGTGCCACCTGTCTGGGAGATAGGAGACGTGGGCAGGACTCCTAGAAGGTCTCGTTCAACACTCCACCCCCACCACCTCAGGCTTCCGGGGTCTAGGGTCCCTCTGCTCCACGTTTTCTTCTTTCCCTCCTAGGGTCACACTTGAGTGGCTTTGCAGAGCTCTCCAAAGCTCTCGGCCCCCTGCCCTCCTCCAGGGGTCTCCCCTGGTGAGATCCTGCATCTTTATTATCTGGGTGCTTCTTGGGGTCCCTGACTAACTGGATTGCCCAAAGGCCCCAAGGACCATGAACCTGAACCAGGAGAAACTTGAATGGACTCAGTGGTACCGGCTCACACCAGCAGTGCACTGAATGAGGTGTCAGTACCTCCATGGCCCCCCACACACCAGAGCGGTGACCGGCCTGCTGGCTGCAGCACCGTGTGGCATACCTCACCTGGTCTCGCTGCTGGACGCGTTTATAAACATATTCAGCAAACGGTTCACGTGGAATAAACTTCCCATGTCCAGGGCTGACGCTGAGCTCTCCCGCCTCGTACACCACTTTGCCCCTTGAAATGGTCACCAGCGGCACCCCATGGCAGACCATGCCCTCGAAAATGTTGAAGTTCACAGCCTGATGGTGAGTGTTAGCTGAGATGGTCCTGGGTTTGTAAAGAACAGACAAAAGCCCACGTCATCATTGGAGCACAGTCAAGAGAAGGGTCTCGGAGGGAAGGTAGCCACTCTCTTCAGCCAGGACTGCATCACCGAGCCCACGGCATTAAGAGCAGAACGTGGCTTAGCATTTCATCACGTGGTGAGTACCTTCCGAAGGCAAACCAAAGAGACTGCTCTTTGCGGAGATGGGGAAGGGCCCTGTCTTTCGTGTTGAGAATCTAAAATTATTTGTACGTGTCAGAGAGCAACAAATATGTTCCAGTTGTGCTTATGAAAAACCCTCGGCAGGGGCACGGCCTGAGGCCCTCACCCTCGCCCACTCCCCTGCCTCGCACAGTGGCGCTCTGTGATTCGATAGCACAAATGAGCCTGGTAGTTGTCAGGGAAAAACAGATCTTGAACGTTTCCCCCTTGTCTGTGGCAGAATTGGAAAAGAGAGGATAAGAGGAATAAGCAACTCTATCAGCTTTACTCCCTCAGCATATTCTGTGCTGCGTATCTCTGTACTCCCTGGCTCACCAGCAGCTTTTACTTTTTATATATGCAGATACAACTGTGCACGTTGACTGGACAGTGTGCTCTTGAGAAGTAGGTAAGCACGGGGCTGACTAAGCGTGGGCCACTGGCCCCATGTTCCCGTCTCTGCCTCGAGAACGCCGCGTACTCCTCAGGAAGTGTGGCAGAGTGGCAGAGGAAGTCAAAGTGATAGAGGGCAGCACTGGGCGCAGACCGACACCTGCCCAGGCTGCCCAGGACCTGCCCAGGATATACCCCTGAGCAGGAGCAGAGCTGGGCCTCTGAGTCCCCTGCAGCCCTCCCTGCAGAGCCTCCCACTTCAGGATGCAACAGCTGGCTGCAGACGAAGACTGACATGTGGAGCCCTATGCTGGGAGAGTGAGGCCTCCAGGATGCTGCCAACTCTTCACACAGCGAGGGCTCTAGAAGGACATGGGGTGAGCTGGTGCCTACCAGCAGATGAAGCAGAGAGAGAATGTGGTCTATCTACATATGGAGTACTACTCAGCCAGGAAGAAGAGCAAAATGCTGAATCCTCTCACTGGCAGCAAAGGGGATAGGACCAGAGAATGTTATGTTATGTGAAACAATCCGGGCACAGACAAGCACTGAGTATGCGGAAGCTAAAAAAATTAGCCTGAAATTAGAACAGTGATGGACAAAGTTTGGGAAGGGGGCAGGGGTGAAGGGTAGTTGGATTTGATCAGTGTGTGCTGTATGCAGCATAGAAACATCACACAGAACTCTATTAATATGAGCAATGTAGGCATTTTGTAATCCCAACACTTGGCAGGCTGAGACAGGAGGAGCACTGTGACTTTGAGGCCACCTAGTGAGTTCAAGACAAGCCTAAACTACACATCGAGGCCCTGTCTCAAAAAAATAAATAAAAAGGCATGAATTTATTAAAGACAGCCCACGGATGTCCCTGTGACAGAGACTGTGACTCAGAAAGAAGTGGGCATGGCTTTTGGCCAGGTCATCAGATCTGAACTGCACAGTGCCTTGGACCGGCTTCCGCGGGTGACAAGACCTTCAGTGCAGGCTCTGACAGATGCTGCCTGAACGTTGACTTCTGGACACAGGCTGATGGGGAGCCCAGGCTTTGGTCCTTGGAGCTGTGTAGAGGTTGCGGGTGGCCGAGGCCGTCTGGTTGGATGAACCCTGTTCAGATGCTGGCATGCTGACCTTCGGCCTCTGCCCCACGTGGGTCTGAACAGCTGCAGTCAAACTTGTTTATCCGCCAGTGAGTAGATTACTCCTTACAGAACATAAATGTCACGGGCATGTACTGCAGCTAGTTTCCAGATGGTGGAAACGAAAGGTAACTTAGTGTCTTGAAGGAACAGAAAGTGTGAATCAGCCAGGCCGGCAGGAGCCTCACTGTTTTCTGCCCCATGAATGTTAAGCAGGTGAGTGCTCAGGGCAGAGGAGTCAGACACACCTTTCCAGAAGGCTGTGTGGACTGCTCTCGTAATTCTGTTCCCTTCCTGGGCAAGATGACCTGGCTTGACAGGCCCAATGGGCACAGCTTGGGCACAGAAAGATGCTGGTTTCTCTCCAGGAAGTCGTGGGTTCAAATCCACACAGCACCTTCTCGATGTCCTGCTCCAGCCACAGGTGTGTGCCAAGGCTTGGCTCCAAGTCTCAGGAGAAAAGGGAAGGTGGTCTATCAGCTAACAGGGCGGCAGGAGGAGCGGGTGGATCGAGGTCTGAGTGGCTTCTGGACGGTACACTTCTGCGTTGAAAGGAAGAAGATGGCCTCTTTCCCCTCCATGCGCATGAAGGGAGGTAGAAAGAGTGACATTAATCACTGGCTGGTAACATGCAGGGAGGCTCCAGGGAACAGTCCTGTGGGAGTCAGGAAGCCAGGTAACAGGAGGAGGGAGACTGTGTGACCAGGCCACGGCCATGGAACTGAAGCTGAGGCCTGGGTGGAGACCCATTTCAGAGTCGGAGAGGACATCTGGCCCTGTAGTCCTGAGAGAGGAGACCAGGCTACCAGCACCACAGAGACAGAGACAGGAGAACTGACCACCACATGGTGTTGCTTCCAGGCCATGAGCAAAGGGACACCAGAAACGCCAAGCCATCGAAAGTACTTCCCAGTAGTAACCGCAACAGAAGTCTGTGGGCTCCCTGCTCTGTGGTCAGCACTTATAGAATAATATTTAATCTTCAGCAAGTGTCCTCTATCAATATTTTTATCAGCCCCTTTTACTGATGGGAATGCTGAGGCCAAGCAGTGTACAGAACAGAATAACCCTTCCCTGTCTGCAGCCTGTGCTATGGGAAAACGGCCATAGCCTTCACAGTCTCGGTGGAACTGGAGGTCAGAGAGCATCCAAAGAGCAGACTGGACATCCCTGGGAGGAGCCTGCAATTCCGATTTCTAAACTAAGGGTTGACAGACAGACTACACTTCCTGGCCCAGCAGCCAAATCCGGCCCCCAGCCTGCCTTCATCAGTAAAGCTTCATTGGAACACAGTCACGCCTCTACTTACTATTGGCTATAGTTGCTTCTATGACTACAGCTGTGATGACCAACAAGCCTAAAAACTGTGTTTCCTGGCCCCGCACAGAAGGAGTTTGCTTTTCTTCTGCTCTAAATGTCTCCAGGGGCAAAAAAAAAAAAAGCTAAAACAATAATAATAACAACAGCATATGAAAGTCCTGAGAGTGTAACTGGAAGAACTAAAAGTTGGTGGTGAAAAAAGGAAACAACTGCAGCAAGGAGAGAAAGAGAGACACAAAGGAAGGCAAAAGTGAGCCAGACTCGGAGTCAGCCTGGGGACCCTGACCGGCACCTGCACAGCAGCTCGCCCTCTGTGCCCTTCGAACCCACTTTCTGCAGTGACACCCGCACCTCCTCCACTCAGCGCACCCCCGGCCTCCGGCAGAACAGTCGCAGGCACCGGCCGGCCCCACAGCTCTGGCTTTGAGGCAGCACCCGGCTGTGTCCCCCGCCGGCCTCATCCAGAGGCCGAGCTGTGAGCCCTTGGACAGAAAGGCTGGGCGCAGCCACAGCGAGGCTAGGCAGGCGGGGCAGCGAAGGCCACACCCGGTGCTCAGCAGCACTCAGTCCTGAGGGCCAGAGCTTGGGTCGGTTCCCGGCAGCCTCTGCAGGTGTCCGGTCACTCCACTGGACTGATGAGGACCCTGCAGTGGCTATCAAGGGGCAATGTCCGTAACCAGGGGGCCACTGCACCGCTCCTCACCTCCCATGGATGTCTTTTGTGTTTTAAACAGTCTTGCTGTGCCATCCAGCCTGGCCCCTCACGGCAGAGATCCTTCTGCCTCAGCCTCCCTAGAATTATGAGCACAAACTGCCATGCCCGGCCTCCCCTTCAGAGAGGCTGAGGGCCAGTGCAGACATCTCAGTTGGCCAGGGGACCGCCCCGTCTGAGCCCTTCCAGCCCCATGGCCGGGGCACATGACTGACCTCTCTGAACCCCTGCTTGGTCGTCGCAGCAGACCCCGTGCCCACCTGGCACCTGCGTGTCAGAGGGCGGAGGGGACACAGCAGGGACCTGGCAGAGCGGGCGAGTCCAGGCCTCCCACACTCCCTCCATGGGTGGAGGCAGGAGCCAGGCTCCCTGCCCACCTGTGCCTGGCCCTGGTGGCTCCCGTCCTTCCAGGTCCCCACCTGCTCCTGGACGCCAGGGCCAAGGTCACTCTGATAGCTGTGACAGTGACGAGGAGCAGAAAGACCACCCGGCCGGGGCCGTTCACTGTGGGAGCGTTCCTCCCTTGTTTTGTTTACCCTTCTGAGACCCGGCGCAAGCCAACGTGTCAGTACTGTTCCCAGTGCAGGCACCGCGGCCGGCCTGAGGCACCTCCCGTCCCCAGGAGTCTGCAGCTAAGTGTGCATCTAGGAAAACGCCTGTCTCTCCAGAGAGACCTGAGCACCTTCGTGGGGAAGCACAACGTGAAACGGGAGAGTTAGGGGGAAAAGACAGAAAAGCATTAGGAAGATGGCACCAGTCACCTCTGCACTGCTCCTAGGTCTGCGTCGGAGAATGCGCTCAGTGTCCTAAGTCCTCCCGAGGGGCAACAAAGACTGAGCCAACGTTAAGGCTTGCTGTCGGGACTTGCGCTTGCGAGGCAGGCGGCAGAACCACTGAGCTAAATCCCCAGCCCTGTCGGTTTCTCTTTTAGCCTTCGCCTACATTTTATTCTCCCGGGCACCAGCAGTGCAAAAACAGGATGTTGGAAGAAATTGACCAGCATATACGCGGGAATTAGAAACTGGAGTACCTGAGAACCCAACAACTTGGATCTTTTATCAAGCCTCCAATAGTCATTCCTGCAAACACCTCTTCTCTCTGGCTTCTCACTTAAACACGCGAGGCAGAACTGCCCTGCAGGTGTAACACGACCATAAGGAGAGGTCGGTGGGAAGACACGGGCTTCCAAGTCTGGGATCCACTCCTCACAGTACGGTCCCTCTGCGCCACAAGGCCCTGT